CATACTCGTTGATGAACGCTCCCCTGAGCGCTAACGGAAGTCATTCGTCCCGCTCTGCCTAAGCCTCGACAAAAACCCTTACAGTCGTAACAGCTGGTATTATTAGGCAGATAATATTGCCGGCAAAGAAAAGACAGTGGAATGGCTATTTCTGGCTTATACGCCTAGTAATACCAACTGCTACGGTTGTAAGGGCTTTTGTCGAGGCCCAAGGCAGAGCGGGACAGATGAGCTCCGTTAGCGGTCAGGCAAAAGTTCATCAACGAGTGTCAATAGTCCCGGACCTAAACCAGCGAGACAACGAGCTCGTGGTGCAATGGTTAGGGCGTTTGACTCTGATCAAGAAGGTCGCAATTTAAGGCTCGACTTGGGCACCAATTTTGGGCTGGATATGACAGGCGGAAGACGGCTAATAAGCCAGAAATGGCCACTCAAATCTCCCCTGCCTTCGTTGGCAATATTATCTGCCTAATAATACGATTGAACATATCGTCCAGAAGAAGGCCCACCACTAATAACATCCGCAAACCTCTACCTGCTAAATAGAAGTTATACGTTAAAATTATCTTGTCCAGCCACCTCTGTCTTAGTCTTACCCTTATGTTGTAGCCAGTTCTCTGAAAGCACCTGGTATTTGTCGATCAAATTTAGTCTCTTAGTCCCGTCGGTAACGGGTTTCATCGTTGTCTCACGTAGTAGTCCATCGCCCGAAAACGAAGCAGATTTGAGCAGCATCTGCCTCATGCCACTCTTCCCAAAGGCAGTATTTTCCGATAGGAAGACCAGCCCAAGACGGCAGAAGATGTAAGCAGACGCAGTGACTAAAGAACTTCAACAACCCGCCTACATGTGGCGCACATGACCTGTCATCTAACTCCACCCCTAAAAGACTTAAACAAGGGAAAAAGTCTGCGACTTTGCGTGAGAGTTCTAGTAGATCTCCTGACCGCTGACTCAAACATCAGTCAGTTTGTCAAAACAATTCCCAGAGAAAATTAAAGGGACAAGTCTTCTGCCAAGCAAGAGCATTGTATCTTTTGATGTTACATCCCTTTTTACTTCTAGCAGTTCAAACCATCAACTTCCTCTCACAGAAAAAATACGATGAAACAGAATCACCCCTAGACACGCCCAAAGCCTCCAACTGCGGAAATTCCACTTCAAGACGTTCAGTGGAACAACCGACGGGTGGGTGAAAGGCACGCCAATGAGTTAGATTATTACGGTACTCATCACCGAGGCGGTCCTAGGAGCCGCTAATCGCCCAACACCACAGAGAAAAACGATCGGTTCGCTCGTCGTCTTCGTCGTCATCAAACGGGACCACATGCTGCAATTTGAAGAACATCTGAACGCTGTCAGCCCGGACGAGGGAGGGTGACTAAAATAACCAAGTGGCCTTTCTTGACGTCCTTTTTGCCGCAAAGAAATGTGGTGGTCTAAAAATAAAACTGCTCAAGAAAACGACCAATACGACAAACGTAGTGAACTTCGACAGCAACCACCCGATCAGCCACAGACGCAGTTGTGCACGGGTACTATACTGGCGTGTCGAGACGTGTTGTCAATGAACTGGAAGACACGGTTGCCGAATAAAAATGTCTTCGACGGGTGCTTAGAGCTAATGTTTATCCAAGCAACTTCGTCAACCGGTGCATGTGTAAACGCGACGAGAGACAAAATTCAACCGGCTCCTAATTTTGCCGGGTATTCCCATACGTGAAGAACATCTCGGAAACCTTTAGCCGCCTTCTCACGCCAAGAACGTCATGATGAGTGTTACTAACACGGCGTATTTGTCCAACAGCGATCGACGTACAAAAGTTTCTCAAGGTATGCATAGCCCAGAGTCGGAAGCCCAATCACACTTTTGTAAAGCGAGTTAAATGTAAGCACACTGAAAAACGTAAATTTGTTAGCCACAATTGTCTGAACAGGACAAAGTCAACTTACCGACAACTCGCCACCAAAGTACACTGGAGTGGACTGATCTGGAGCAATAAGGGTAGAACCAGAGATTTCCTTCCCATAGGACGTCTCCCAGGGGATGAAGGACTGCTCTGCGAAGCGTACGAACTCTTCGTGATCTACACCAACGCCGACCAGAACGCAGCGCTCTGGTCTGCAGATAAGATAACAAGAAATCGTAATAGCTGTGAACACTTCACAATAGAAAGGAATAAATGCGGATGGCTACCATAGTCACTTTAGTGGATTTAAAATCTCGGCAATTGTACAGCAGCACAAGGTGGTCACGCTATTTTTATGCTACCTAGTACTCCACTAGATGCAATAATACATTGGAAGTGTACCCATTCAAACTAGTATTCATTGGCTGTCGAGAAACGACTAATGACTGAGACAGCACGCCAGCCACCGAACGGGACAAGATGAAGCATCTTCGAGAACTCTCTAGAGCCGAAGGCTATCAGTGAGCATTCGTTAAGAGAAGTCAGCTGGCACAGAGGCGGAGTAAAGAGCATAGTCGGACGAAATCATGGGGTAGCCCTACCTATTCCTCTTTTACTACGGCTAAGTATTCGTTAGATAATGTACTTGTTTAATTGCAAATATATAGTTCACGCTAAAATGCGAAAAAATGTGGTAACAATAAAATGTACTTGGTTTTTAGTACTTTCAGTACGGTGCGAAGGGCGTTCACAGTGAGTGAATTAAATTCGGGATAAAAAGCCGATAGGATAAACCTACCTGTAAAGGGAGGCCATAA